AAGAAGCTACTAGTAACAAGTGCATCGCTTCTAGTAACAAGTGCCTTACTAGTAGTAACAAGAAGATATTAGAAACAAGAAGCTACTAGTAACAAGTGCATCGCTTCTAGTAGCAAGTGCCTTACTAGTAGTAACAAGGACGCTACTAGGAGCAAAGAAGCTACGATCGAGGCTCCTGGCATCGCTACTAGGAGCAATGTTCGCTACTAGGAACAAAGGACATCGCTACTAGGAGCCATCGGACGCTAGCAGGTTGGAGGCCATCGCCATAAGCTTATTAGACTCAACGTGTTTTAATGTCGAACAGCCATGGGCGCTGAAAAGTCATGCAACACTGCTCTTTTGCCTTCTACCAACTTCCGGAGCTGGATTGGCTCTTGCTGTGTTCAACTCGGTTTTGTTGTTCAGCTCTTGCTGAGTCTTGATCTTTCTTTGCTGTTGCCTGCAATATTTGGCACGTGCCTATCACTCGACTGGCTTGTTCAGTATTCAGAACGACTACTTTCTAGACTTTTTTCTTTTTTTTTCGGGCACACGCTGCAATGCACTCAAAGTTCAAATTGAGGTCGTCTCTTGTTCGCAAGCGTGATGAGTCAAACAACTCAAGTAGACATCAAAACACAAAGGATCACCTTCTGAATTCAGTGTAGACGCATAGGTTTTTGGATGGTAGATGTATCTTTTTGCTCCGGAAATGAATACATCCCGGCACCTTGACCGTATAGGTGGTGCCAGAAACAGGCGGCCTTGGTTCCGGGCCCAACATACTCTCCACTGTGCCTCCTCTTCGCCACAGTTAAGTCTAAAATATAAAAATAGAGAACATCATCGCTACTAGTAGCTCCTGGCATCGCTACTAGTAACAAAGAGCTACTAGATGCTACTAGTAACAGTATCGTCTAGAGGCGTTTTGAACGTCTTAAAGTGCGGTCATCGAGAACAAGAAGCTACCAGCTACTAGTAACAAGGGCATCGCTACTAGGAACCCGGGCATCGCTACTAGGAGCAAGGACGCTACTAGTAACAGAAGACCAACGTGGTCTCTGACGCAGGACGCGTCAGTGCCACGTCCAAAGCTCCGCACCCTGGCCCCAGTACCGAAGCAGGCAAGGCCGAAAGTTCGGAGCCTTCGGAGCGATGTTCGCTACGAACGGAGCAAAGGGCCTCGCTACTAGGAACAAGTGCCACGCTAGTAGTAACAGGTGCCACGCTAGTAGTAACAGGTGCCTTACTAGTAGTAACAATGTTTGCTATTAGAAACAAGTGCATCGCTACAATCGGGGCTCCTGGCCTTACTACTAGGAGCAAAGACGCTACGAATGGAGCGTCCTTGCTCCTAGAAGGAATGGCCTCCAACCTAATAAAGACCTTTGTTATCCTTCTTTCTTAAAAAAGAATAGTTCTCTGGTCTATGGATGTCAAAACCAATTCTAATTCTAATCTAATTTAATTCTAATTTAACTCAATTGATTTAATTTAAATCTGATTCAATTCTAATTTAGTTTAAGTTTAATTTAACTTAATTTAATTATAGTTATGATTCTTATGTCTACTAGCTTCTTGTTACTACTAGTAAGGCACTTGTTCCTAGAAGAGATGCACTTGTTACTAGTAGCTTCTAGTTACTACTAGTAAGGCACTTGTTCCTAGTAGCTTATTGTTTCTAATAGCTTCTTGTTACTACTAGTAAGGCACTTGTTACTAGAAGCGATGCACTTGTTACTAGAAGCCTCCTCCGGTCTATGGATGTCAACAATTTCTTGCATCCCTTCCGTTCCGCCTTCAGTGCCATGGCTCCTGGAACAAACTCAAACGCACTGAGCAGTCGCATGCTACGCTACAATTGGTTGATGTACAAAACGCATTCTTCCATTCTGCGGACGAGACGTGACAAGAAGTACACTGTTTGCACCTAGAGAAAGGACCAACCAAAAACTTGGTGACATGTTGAGCCTTTTTTCAGAAACAAAGAAGAAACACACATTTCGAAGAGGAAAAGAGAACAACTTAGCTACTTGGCTTCTCTACTTCTAAGAAATACTTCTTACTTACTTCTTGCTTGTTTGCGTATATTTATTTGAAATTGCTTTACTTTACCATAGCTTACTTAGCTTTACCAACACTTCTTACTTCGAAACTTCGCAACGAGAAAATCGCTCGCAGATTCGCTCCCGGTGAGCGGCTGCCGCTCAGCTTTGCCTCGAAGCACAGGTTTTTGTTACTAGTAGCGATGCACTTGTTCCTAGTAGCTTCTTGTTACTACTAGTAAGGCACTTGTTACTACTAGCGATGCACTTTTTTTCCTTTTTTAGCTTGAGGTAGCTACCAGCATGGACGCAGGCAAGCCCACGCCTCTTCAAGAAAGCTCCCCTCGCCGCCCTAAAGGCGGCGGGGGAAGCTTTCTGGAAGAAGCGCTTGCACGAATGATTTGGTTCCTAGATGTTTTTGGAAGCTTAACTTAACAAGTACATCGCCATGAGTAACTAAGCCGGCGGCATTGTGTTGCAAAACACATAGTACACTTTGTTCTATTTCACTGCATTGAGTAGGTTGGAGGCCATTGTTATTAGCTTCCTTTTCTCTCATATGTCTTATTATGAACAAGAATGCTACGATCGGGGCTCCTGGCCTTACTACTAGGAACAAAAGGACGCTACTAGGGGCTCCTGGCATCGCTACTAGGAACAATAAAGCATAATAAAGCTACTATTGTTTAAAACAAACGCGTTCTTCTTTCATGTCTTGTTCGCTTGTCCTTTGTTCGGCGTCGGCGCCGAACGCGCTCGAACAGCTTCACCTGAGCTGCTGGAGTTCTTCACCATGCCCTTGGCACGCCTGACCGGTTCGGTCGGGAGAATGTCGCAGTAAGAAGCACAGGAGACACAGACCGTCAGCCGCAAGAACCGTTTAGCCAACAGAAGTTACAAGAAGCCACCGAGAGCCAACAAAAACCAAACCATCTCTCAACCACACGTCAGCTTAAAGCCACACAAACCACCAAAGGCCATAGCGGTACTGGAGCCAGCAAGAGTCACAAGCCACAGAAGTCACCATAAAGCTCAAGCCAGTTTTAAAGCCAGTTAGAAGCCACAAAAGCCTGGACCAAGAATGTTTTGCTAAAAGGAACAAGAAGCTACTAGGGGCTCCTGGCCGTACTACTAGGAACAAAGGGCATTACTAGTAGCAAGGACGCTACGAACGTAGCTTCTGGCGTTACAAAAGGTGAAGCAGCAGGACGGGCTGCTGAACGCACTGCTCGGCTGCTCGGACTTAGCACTTGTGTATATCACCAGCAACCATGGATGATGATGGTTAGTTAGTAGCCCCTAGTAGCGTCCTTTGCTCCTAGTAGTAAGGCCAGGAGCCCCTAGTAGCGTCCTTTGCTAGTTAGTTAGTAAAGGCCTTTCCTTTTTAAAAAGTGATAATCTTTTGCTGACTGTTGCTGGTAATGAGCTACACCTACTCAGCACCCCATCATACGAAAGAAGGCCAGAAGTTTGCTCGAACTCTAGCTTCCAGTGATCAGCCGTTATTTCGACTACTTCTCCCAAGTTGGTGCTAAAGGCCTGATTCACTTTCAACTACCACCACATCTTATCACTAGAATCTAGAAACTACAATGCAACTAGAATCGCGACCTGAGCTTTCTTTGCAAACTACCCTAGTGACAAGTAGTAGTAATGTTGCTAGTAGCTTCTTGTTACAAGTAGTAATGCCCTTGTTAGCGATTCACCTTGTTACTAGTAGCTTTTGTTACTAGTAGCTTTCTTTGCAAAC